GATATTGTCCTCGTGGGGCACCGTGAGCTCTACCAAGTGTACCTCTTTGTCTTTTTCCTCCCATAACACAATGTCTGGCTTTTTCGTTGTGCAAAATCAACAACTGGTTTAAAATCTGAAAGTTTACTTTTGTCTTTTCTTTTCTTTTCTATTAAAATTATTAACTATCACAAGAGCATCTTTACATTGATAGACTGGACACACTCAAATTGAGGATAGGTTGGCGGGAAACTTTTGTAGCAAGTGACAGCTACGAGTAGGTTTTGAGGCCAAGTTTTTGTGCAAAATGACTGGTCAAAGGTTTATTGCACAGGGACCACTATTGACAGGTAAAGTAATAAAGTAAAGTAATATTCTTCCCTCATTTGTCTTACTGTCAATATATTTTTGTTCTTTTTTTGCTCTCCAGGTTCTTGAAAAAGAAGTTTCTGAGAAAATGGTGAGGTTTGAGGAGCTTGTTCGAGAGGTACGTCCTTGCACTGACAATGTTCTCGCTCAGCGTGGTGAGAAATCTCTGTCACTCTTGGTTTACATGTCTTTTTAAAAATGTGGGTGCTTTTATGTCCCCATCAATGCAGTTTAGATCATTTAGGAGGCGGGCTCCCGACCCTGCCTGTCAAAGCCAACCCGGACTGAGAGGAGGATGCAACATCCCAGCAGAAAGACTGAGAGACTTGATAAAAAGTTCTCCCCACTTGAGAATTGAACTCGGGTTTCCTGCGTGCAACAGTGAAGGGCCAACCCACTAAACCACAGATGCTGTTGTTTTACACTGCATTACACATTGTTGTGAGATGCTTGTATATACGCTACTATTTTTAACTTCACTATGGGTGGTTAGCTGGTGCTCTTGTGTTGTATGCTCCTTCTTTCCTACCAAACATCCACCATCCTTATCTTTCTTCTTTCTTTTCTTTGTATGTTACTCTCTTGCAACACAGCCAATATGTTGCACTTGTATGACCTATTTGTGTTGCAAGTGCAGTAAAACTCTTACTAAGACTATGAGCTAAACTAACTTGACTCCTACCATTAGCAGAGTTTGATTCCCCTGTATTCTAGTGGGACAAAGTACTGTGAACTCATACCTTTTTTTTTTTTTAAAGCAACTAGTAACTTACGATGGCTCACCTTCCTTACATTCTCTGCTAGAACCTCC